TTTTTTTTTTTTTTTTTTTTTTTTTAGATTTTAGAAACTCAGAAGCTGATCAAATAGGGGGTTAAATTTCGGTGGGGTGGCCGATGTCCGATATTCAGTTTTAAGGCCGATGCCGATAGGGGGCCGATTATATCGTGCATCCCTATTTATTATTATAAAAACAATGTCATTTCAATTTAAATATGTTCTATTTTCCATTTATGTAAGCATGTAAATAAGAAAATCTGAAATAAAATGAGTGTTTTTGCTTTTATTGTAAAATAATTAGATTGCATGCATTTTTTTATTTTAAAAAGGCTGATATTGATTACAGTTTTAGCAGTGTAGTTCTTTTCTTTATGCAGTAAAAAGAACAACATTATTTAGTCAGTGAGTAAGGCCGTCTGCTGGTAGTGAGAATGCAGTAAGCTGCTGAACTCACATTAAGCTCAAAGGTCTGAAACGAATAAAGAAAGATGAGATGAGGGTCGAAATCAAAGACATGTTTGAGAATCGCTGTGCTGGAAGTAGATGGAATAAGGAATTATCTTTTTTAAATCAGTAAATAGAAAAAGTATTTATTACAAGATTTATGAATTTTCATTAAGAAATAGAATTTGAAAATACATTTAGAAATTCCAGTATTTAATAATAGATTAATAAACATAAAATGACAACTCTAATGTTTAATTAGAACATGCTTTTCATTTGCATGATTTATATTAAGATTTGAGATGGCAGTTTCTTTTTCCACCGTAGAACCGCTGATAGATTTAACTGCTTAGTTTGGATGTATTGGGATTTCCAGAACCAAATTCCAACCTCTACAGTAATAACAATCTGCAGATATAAAAAGAAACCCATAAATATGCAACATGTTTATGCATAAATATAGACTGATTCTCCTCTCTAATCTCAGTAGGTTGTTCTCTGCATGTATTTGTTCACTTAGACACAAATTATTACCAAAAAAATGAGCAGTTGAATGTAGAAAACATTTCTGCAAATAAAAAAGAGAAAAACAAAATTGCAAAAGAAAAGTATCCAACTTTTCTACCTGCTCCATTCTTGATCTATGTGACAAAACTCTATTATAGAGCTGACCAATGAATCTGTTATAAAAACTGAAGTGTTCTCAGATTAAACGTAACGGAGCCACTTCAATATTGTTTTTCTTTTTAAAGATTAAACCCAATTCTGTCAACTTCATTTCTATGGACGGCGTCTCATAAGGGGGATCAAATGCGATCCCTTACAGTGGAAGGGAAAATAAAAACAAACAATCTGGGTCATCTGGATCTAACTGCGTTTGGCATGTAACAGGCAGAGGGAATGAAAGGTCAGAGGTTATGGGGCATGAGAGCATGTGATGGGTTATGACAGGAAGTACTGAATTAATAATCCAAAAAGGCAGCGAAAGGCAAACCGAGGTCAGGGAAAGCGGGGGTACAACGCACAAAACGCAGCCACAGGGGACGGAAAATGACATACAGAGGCTATGTGCTGACATACGTGTGAACGCACACGCAGATCAGAGGAGGAACACACGAAGAAACTTTAGCCTGATCGGAAAAAAGAGAACAGACACGTCGTTTAATGCTGAATATTTCCTCATGTTTCCCCTTCATGCCTTAAATAATACACCTGCTGTTTAACAATAAGAAATTTGAAAATATAAAGACTGATACCAACAACATAGTGAAAAGTATTTGCTCAATCATTGAAACAAAAAAGGTATGAGTTGTTTCATCCATTCCATGACTGCGGCTTTATAACATCAAGCATCTTTGCATGTATGAAGTGAATTTTGTTCCATTTTAGTTGCAAGAAAATTTGAAAGGAATGCAATCTAGAATTGAGAATTTGAAACATGCTGGTGAAGATTCTCAGTCATTCAGGTAATAGTCATTCCAAAAAAAGTTAACAAACAAACCACCTGTTTTCCAAGGTTAAAGACATTTCGCTTTCCATCTCTGCACCTTATAGAGTTCCAGCTATTCTGATAGGATGTCACCTGATCTATTTCCTTCACCATTAAATGTTAGTGAGCAATTGGGAACGACAGCACCTCAGCCGCCCTCTGCGTTGGTCTGATGGCGCTGGAGTGGTCAATACTGACGGGAAAAGTGCACAGAGGTCACCAACTGTCTGAGGAGTCAAACACTACAGACCTCTGAACTTCATTTAGCCCTCAGGTTAAGAATCGTGTGTAAAGAGTATCATGGAAGCGGTAACCATGGCAACCCATTGGCAACTACCAGCAGAACGGTGCAAATTTGAGTTGATTGTATCAATGGTAAAGTTTGCTGGAGGGGTAATTATGCTGTGTGAACGCAACAGAACAGAAGTTTGGGATGAATGAGTGTGAAGACAGAGAGGCGTTTTTGTCCAACATCTGTCTGTAACCTCATTGATGTGCTTCTGGAGGAACGGCAAGAAATGAACATGTAGACACTCGTCAACCTCTAGGAGAGCTTTCACTGATGAACTGAAGCTGTCACAGCTGCAAAGGGACCAACATCCTATAAACCTGATGGATTAAGCTTCTAATTTCTT